CAGACCGGTTCCCGCTCACTGGCTGAGCGAGGTGCGGGCGCAACACCGAGGGGTGCGATCCCGTTGCCTGTCCCGGTCCAGTATGGGCGTGACACTGAGGGTTGCGATCCGTTGCCAGACACAAAAAAAGACAAAAAGGAAAAAAAAAACAAAAAAAAAACTCAACAGTATATAGTCTATGTATTCTTCTTGAAGAAAGTACTTCCAAGACATACTCCGTCTATCCTACACATCAGTGAAAACTAACAAATAAACAATATGGTGTTAAACTATGCATTTTTTGTTGCAACTGCTGATGGTGAGGTGCCCTTGCAATTTCATGAAATATCTGCTCAGTGGCATACACTTATTTAAATTTTTTATTAAACTATATGCAGCAGTGACAGGATACCCTGCAAAATTTATTCATTATCGTTGTTCATTTGTATATTAGCAATTAATTCAGTTAATAATTAATAGTCTAAAAAGAATTATATCCAAATAATTATCTGAATTTATTTTTCCAAATTTGATTTTAATTCCTTTGGTTTCATCTGCTTCTAGTCTTCAGAAAGAGCCATAAACAATGAGTGTAACAAGAAAAGAAACTTACATGTGCAAGTTGTCCCATTTTCATCCAAAAGTTGATTATCAGCACAAGCACACACCCGGCCCCCTGGAATGGCCAAACAAAGTGTACTACAGCCCCCATTATTTACTCGACACATATTGTCACCTGCAAAAGGAGGGAAGCAAATGAGTCAGAGAACTCTGATTGCAACCAGTTAGCTAGCTCAGGTTAACATTTCTCTAGGAGATGTATGTAGGCAGAAACGTGTACACATATATATGATACGTATATTATATATTCAGCAATGTAGTCAGGGTTCCTGCCGAATCATAACAAAATTCTGAAATGTTTGAAAATATCTGATGCATTGATGGATAAGAGAAATTTGCATGTTGGTTGGAGGAGACAGAGGTCTGTGTGCAGTTAGGACCAGGAGAGAGGAGAAAGAGGACAAAATGTTAACTATCTCAAATGGTTTCCCAGAGTAAGCCTACTATATTCAAGTCTGAGCTCTTTGGAAAGTAAACTACTGGCTCTTGGAATGTGGCTTTGGATCCCCAGTAAACAGAAAGTGAACAAACACTGGGGACAGGGATGGGATATTCTTTCTTCTCGAGCAAAGAATACACTGGTGCATTGTGGACTCTGAGAAGCACAGGATATCTGCAAAGCCTTAAAAATGAGCAGCCTCGTTGGTATCAGGAGAATGCACAGTACACAAGGGCAAAAGGCTTAGGTCCTAATTGACCTAAAGAGCAGAAGCACTGATGAAACATACAGACATCAATTAAGCAGGCATGAGAGGAAATTCACGAACGTATGTGAGGCACCCTTGGAGATTCCCAGATAAAACTGAGTAAATTTTTCAAGAGGCTGGAGATCATGTTTTCTAGAGGTGTAGGTACGAGTAAATAAAATTTAGGTAAAATTTAAGTAATTACCATTTTGATGCCATTTATTCCTACAGGTTGGAAAGACAAAGAAGAAAGTGTGTTTACAACCGAAATAAGAGGTGCTCAGTACCCCTGGAATCGGGTTTCAGGCCACTCCCCAGGTCTCAAACCCCTCCGCAGCACTCAAGCCCTGCCTCTGAGTCCTGATCTACTGTAGCCTATAGTGCCTATTTTAGGTACTACTAGCACACGGAGATTGAGACCACAGTGGGGCAGCTCACTAGCCAAGCATGCTCAATAAAAAAGAGTCTATCCCTTGAATGACCTCCCACTGGAGGGGCTGGAGATCACCAAATATATGTGAGTATATTTGGTCCATGTGATGGAATTTGACCAATGAGCAAGCTCTAAAAGAGACCAACTGAGCATGTGCAGGACTAAGTTACATAACTGGGAACCACCCCCTTCACTGAATATTCATTAGATAGTGTGAATACGTATTAGATAGTGAAATTGTGAAAGTGGAATCAGGGTAGAGGGTGGGGTTTTTGCTCACTCTCCTATAGCTAGCCCACACTTTGCCTGAGGTGTGTATTTCTTTCTTCTTGTGTCAAACTTGCCTTTAGCAGACTACTGTTCACTCTGGGGCTAGCCTACGTTTTGTCTGTATGTGTGTATTTCTTCCTTGTGTATTAAACTTGCTGCAGTTGGATGCCCTGTTTCCTGGGCCCCACCCACATTTCGCCAGGAGAAGTGTGTACTTTACGTTTGTGTTAAACTTATTTCTAAGGGGCAGCTGCTCACTCTCTTGAGCCAGTCTATACTTTGTAGTAAACGTTAAGTGTGCATTTCTTACTTTTGTGTTAAACTTGTTGCATGCCCTGCTCAGTCTCTGGAGCTGGGCCGCACTTCCTCTGTGAAGCCTATACTTCTTACCTGCTACATTAAACCTGTTTTCACTTTGTACTGAGACTCTGCTCTTGAATTCTTTCCTGTGGTGGAGTCAAGAACCTGCTGGAGGATGGGGTGGGTTTTCTCAGACCCTCTCCTCTGATATCACAACTTTGCAAAGAACTCAACAACACTTGCAATCCAAAGGAAGTGTAACTAACTGTAAGGGTCATTTTACACTGTTAACGTTTTTCAAGGTGTCAGTAATAAAATTTTGATTTTATCAGAAGATCTTAAACATTAAAAATAAAGAGCTTTTAATTACTGAAAGCCATACAATAAGATAATAAAATGATTATAATTATATTGGCAGTTAAAGCACAAGTGCCAAAAATGTGACTACAGTGACAGACTAGATTACTGTGCTGTGGGCCTCAGGGGTTGGATGTGGTAAGTAGAGAACAATAATAAGAGAGCGAAAAAAACCTCTAAAATGCTGCTGTATGCAGTAAATATTCAACACATTCCCATAGATTATCATTGTGTGCCCACAGATCAGAAGAAATGACCTAAAGTATATTATCATTTATTTTCATTATTCTTAGAAGTAAATTTAATTCACTATGTTTATAAAAAATAAAAAAATACGCTTGAAAGCTAAGGAAGCTAGTAATTCAAGTTATAACATCAGTTTTCTAAACTCAGATGGTAATTAAGCTTATTTCAGGCTTTTTACAATAGGGAATGAAAAAATATTTTAAGTAGTTTCCAGATACAGTCATGTTTATTCCATGACCATGGGATAAAAATGTAGTACTTCACAGGATGCTCAGGTATTCTGTCTGTTGTGCACATTATGCACAAGATTAAATTTTATATTCAGTATTTCAGTATCATTCGGATTCTGGAAAATTAGAATTAATTCAAAATATTTTGAGAAGTATATTAAGAATTTAAGCCATAAGAAATAAGAAATTACTGAAAACAATATATCAATATTTCAATATATCATATTGAAAATATATGCTAAATAACATATTTTTAGTTTAGTGGCATGATTCCTACTTCCCATTCTCATTGACTATAAAATGTAAGTATTTGGAAATAAATTTCCATTATTCAAGCTTCAAAATACATTCTCTTCTGGGAATACTACATATTAAAAGAAAGGAATTGGTATTTGGCTTGTCATGATAGAAATCCAAAATCTAAATTAATTTGATGAATTCCATATCTCTCATAAGAATTGCTTAGATCTTTTTTTATCTTATTAGTGTCCCAATATATTTTTGCATTTCATTACTTGAATACGTTCCAGTTAGAGGTCATGTGATAGTCTTTTTTGAAGTGTTGGTAGCTTGCAAAACTTTCCATGTAAAAGTAACCTCTCTAAAGCATGATTAAGTGACTACTTTGCAACATAGCACTAAAAGATGTTATACATAAATGCCAATGAAAGAGTCATCAATACATTGATAGCTATCATAATTGAAAATCTATAATGCATCAATCCCAGAAATAGATGCATTTAATTTAGTTCAGTTTTTATAATAAAATTATAAGGTAGGTTTTATCTCATTTGCAGGTAGGACTAGTAAAAATCTAAAGGCTAAAATGACTTCCAATGTCCAGAAATAAAAAATAATCCTTATTAAAAATTACTATTTATTTCGAGATAACAATTTTATAATTATTATTATTTCTTAGTAAAAATAAGGACTCTAAAATTCATGCTCTTAAACTCTAACTTATTCATATATGATAAAATAAAATTAGATCCACAAAGGACATACTAAAAATAACATACTAAAAAGAATAAAATGAAATTATAGATTAAATTACTATGGAAGATACCTTTTTAAAAAAAAATTATTTTTTTAATTTTAATTTATCCATACAATGTAGTTGATTTTCATGTCTCTTAATTAAAAAATAAAAAAATTCCAGGAAAGCAAATAGTTTTCAAAATTTAGTTCAAGATAGTGTTCTGCCTGGGCCAAAAACTTTGTCCTTTTTCCCAATCTTGTCTCTTCAACAAGTAGAATTAGTCTCCATATTACAAAAACATTAGTTGAATGAATGAATGAATGTAACTTTTACTTAGCAGTTTAAATGAGAAGAACAACACTTGAAGTGTAGACACAAGGTACAAGCGTGTGGATAGATATGTCACTTTTTACCGGATGAAGGTGCTTCTCTCATTTGTATATGAGTTAAGTATACATATATACTCTGTGTCCATACTTTGCATTTCAGGGAGGATTATTTAAATGTGTGTTATAACTTCTGCAGAACAGTAATAAAGAAACAAATGATATATGAAAACATTTCACAAGCTTCTATTAATACCTCAGTGTGTCCAGACTATAGTAATTTACCTTTTGTTAATAAACTATCTTTTATTTCTAGCAAATGGCAGACTGTATAAGCCAGCACAAAGGAATCTCACTGATCAATCCTCTCTTTATCTGAATTTTTTTCAAAATGGTGGAAAGAGAAAATCCTTTTTTCTCTGTGCTTCCTGGACTCCGGACTTCTCAGTGTTTTATCACATGTGAAGTTAGAATTCTCTGCACCTAATATGAAACACATAAACCTATGGAGATATTCTTTTTTTTTACTTATTCAACCTTGTAGTTTAGAAAAAAAAAACTAGATAGCAAATTGACCCCCCAAATTGGATAAAGTCTAGTAGAATGGGATCCTGAGGCCAGATGTATCATTCATTTAATCTAAGATAATTTTAGACTAATTGATATTGAATGATGTCAGTCAATCTGAGGAAAAGATAAAATGATTTTACCTTTGTCTCCATCACAACTACGTGCTCAATGGATATTGTGTTTACATTTTACTTGCTTTGAAACTACTTATTTACGTGTATGTGCGTGTGTGTGTAAGTATATTAAGAGCCAAGTCACTATTTTGGGTTTTTTAAAAAGTGATAATCTTGAATATGGGAAATTTGAGAAGAAAGAGAGAAATTTTGGGATGATAATCTCATCACTAAACAAATCTTTCTAAATGTATAAGATAAAGTAATGTGGTTAATAAATATGTCATGCATTAAATAAAAATTGCTATATCTGTTATACTATGGCAGTGTAACCTAAGATCTCTGAATCCTGGATTCTATAAAGATACTCAAGGCCATCTTTATGTTTAAGTAAAAAAGATCTGAGTATAAAATTTATCAATGATAAAACTACAACGATCAGAGAAAACACATGTTCCTTTCCCTCTATCTAAAAGTATAGTAGTTATAAAATTTTCATAAATAAAATTAGCCACATAAAGTAATCATGGAAAATTACTTTGTTGTCATTCTTGTTTTTTTCATATGAATAACAGAAATCAATAGTACCTATCTGAAGTGTCTTTTGTGAGATTTAAATAAGAATGCGTAGCCCACTTCTTGATAGTTATAATAATTACAGTTAATTATTAGTTAATGCATTTCATCTATTTGGCATAAAAAATCTGTTATTTTTAATTGAATATAAGATACTATTTATCAACCCTTTTTAGAACGTTACATAGTTTTGATTATCTCTTTCTCTAAAAAGTGGGAAAAATCAAAGTGTGTTTTTGAACCTAGAGAATAAAAATGTGAAAGTGTGTTGTTTTACACAATTGTTCTTTATATGAGGAATTTCAGGAGAGACTTACAAAAATTATTCTAGATATTAAATATTAATGAAGAAGGAAAGCTTATAAATTTTATTAAAGAAATGACAGAAGCATATGAAAAAAAAAACCTTGATGCTAAATCCCTAAGAATTACTTAAGAGTTCTTTCCTAGAGGCAGCTCTCTGTTTAGCATGGTTATATATCTATATCTACTTTCTTGAAATTCACTGGTATATTACCAAGTAATTTGACAAGAGTCTATCCTGATACAGAAGATGGGTCCAATTAGCTGACATTTTCTGACCCTGAATCTAGAATGTTTAGATGGTACATTATTTGTATCCCTAAATATTTTTCACGGCATTCCGGTCAGGTGGTGGGTATATGTATACATATTAATACTACCTATCTATCTATTTATATATACTCACACATGTGGAAATACTATATATAAATAAATATGCATATAGGCTATATATACTATGGTATATACATATAGAGAGAGTCATATAGCCTGTATTCTCTCAGAGAGGGGGGGGAGAGAGAGAGAGAGAGAGAGAGAGAGAGAGAGAGAGAGAGAGAGAGAAGGAGGGAGAGGGAGAGAAATTGACACTACAATGCTATAAAAGAGCTGCTTCTTTCATTCTATGAAGAAATGGCAAATATGTACTACTTAAAAACTTGTTTTTCTATTCAATTGCTACTTCTTTATCCTTAAGAAAAAGTCTGACAGAACATATGCAGTCAACATTTATGTGCCACTGATTATGTATTTCAAATTTCTGTAAATATTTGATGTTCAAAAAGTGCAAAGACAAACACCACTGGGAGAAAATTATAACATGGTAAGATAACATGCCCACATTTGAACATCTGAGTGCATTTTACTTCATAATCCAGCTACTTTGATCAATGTAATAAAAGGTCCTAAAAGTTTAGATCTTGAATAGATTATCCAACTGAGTAAAAAAAGGTTAATGCCAGGCATTCTCTCCATATTAAATTTTCTTTCAATGTCTACTGACTGAGTAAAAAAAGGTTAATGCCAGGCATTCTCTCCATATTAAATTTTCTGTTCAGAGATCCAGTTAACACTAGACAATCCTTAGCTATATGAAAACTGGCTAGAAAACTCAAACCAATGATTAGTTCACCTAAGTTAATGAAAACTAATTAATCAATCTGGCTGAACACATTCTCTCAGTAAGATAGAACATAAAGGTTTCTACAGTAAAAGTTGATAAAGAGTTTAGTGATCATGGCTAAGTTTCCACTTTAATGTCCCTTTAATTAAAAGGGTGGGGAGAGCACTTTTAAAAGACATTGTCTATCCAAAGGATTGCATTGCACAATTATATGTTAATGTCACCTTTCAGAACGCAAAACACATTCCCTCATCAGTCGTGTACTGTGTTGTATAAGATTGGGAAACATTACTCCTGTGAATGTTCATTTTAAATGCTTATATGGAGGGAAACTTTAAAAATAAATGCCTCCTGATTTAGAAATTGTAGAGGCAGATTAACTAGTATCAATTGTTTGTCAGACCCTCTGCTATGTAAGTTTCACTCTTATATAACAAATAGTTATTCAATCCTCACAGAAATTTTATGAAGAAAACATTTCTTATCTTTGTTGAATCTTTCATAATGATTCTTTTTTTTTTTTTTTTTTCCTTTTTTGTCTTTTTTCGTGTCTGGCAATGGATCGCAACCCTCAGTGTCGCGCCCGTACCGGACCAGGACCGGGACCAGCAACGGGATTGCAACCCTTGGTGTTGCGCCCACACCTCGCTCAGCCAGTGAGCGGAACCGGTCTGTATGTGGGATCCGAACCCTTGGCGGGAGTGCCACTGCGCTCTCCCACCGGGCCGGCCCTTTCATAATGATTCTAAAGTTTCAGAAAAAGAAAGTATTAGGATGTAGAGTTAAGCCCAAGTCCATTTTACAGTAAGTCAGGGCATTTTTCACCACACATGTTGCATTTAACTGATCAATTCACTATAAAGCAACTGGAAGTTTAAAGAATATAAAGATTATAAAAACATTATGAACTTTGGCTGGAGGAAATTCAGCAATCGCATTCAAGAGGAACAATTTCTAAAGAGAAGGAAAATAGAAAGTGTGATTTTATATTGATTAGTGTGATAAAATCCAAGAAACTAATGATTGTGAGGTTAGAGGGAATAATAATCCTGAAAACAAGGTCCTACAGGAGTTCGTAGCCTTGGCTCTGGTTCGGAATAGACAAAGTACAATTGTGGTGGATGAAGAAGGGCATGGTTGATGTGAATGTAACAGAAAATGTTACCCTTTGATCTACCAGGCAATTGTCTCTATTCTTCATTTCTAGTTAACAGCTATAGCCTAAACCATTCCAAATAATTTCAGTTTTATTATTTTTAAAGATAATTTTATCTTTTATAAGCTATTAATATTTCACATTTTATACACTTGTTATTTTATAAAATTACATTTGTATTTTGATGAAGCAATTTTATTATAGTAGAAAAAAATTAAAGCCCTTGAATGAGATAGTTTGCTTTAAAATCTCTGATTTAGCTGAGATTTCTTCAAAAAACTCCTGTCGCTACATAACTTGCTATGGACAATATAGGTATTAGAAAACTCAGGGTATAATTTATTCATCCTAAATGTATTGAAATGTATGCTCATTAAATTTTCAAAAGGATATCTCCATAAGAAAACAAACAGGTACTATTTAAATATTAAAAAAAAAACCTCTACCACATAATTTACTAAATTGTTTTCTTTGTTTTATACATAAGTTCTGAGTCATGCTATTTATGGATGTCCTAATAAATATTAATAACTTGTGCAGATAAAACACATAACAATATTATCTGATTGAATAAGACATGAATATTGTGGGAGATTGTTTCACTTTCATAACATCTAAAATAATTACATGTGCCTTAAATATACATATAAACTAACCAGATAAATCTACTGAGATAATTTTAATAACATTTTCCTTGTATAATGATTTTTTTCCCCAATTTTTAAATAGTCTTCTTAAGCTAAGGAAGTTTTTCTCACTACTCATAGTACTGACTCTTTGAAAACATTAAGAGGATTTTTTTTTTTTTTTTTAAATAACAGCTTTCTTCAGTGAAAATGACATGAAAAAGAAAATATTTGGAGAAAACCTTGAACTTCACTCAAATAGAATTTCCAGAGTTACTCACTCAAGGTATTTACAACAATAAAATATAATTTTTTATGAAAATCTGAGATTTGATTGACTTTGGAGTGAACCAGACTCCTTTTATCATGAAACTTCAGCAACAATAAAAGCTTTTTATAATTACTGTGAAGTATTATTATATGTAAAACTCAAAAGCAATTTTATTTGTTTGTTCATACCTTGTTGCTTTCGTGGATCATAAATCTGAAGCCCAAACAGGGGTGGTCTTTCATGCCTCAATAATGTCACTTCACTCGTTATCAAATCAAGTTGAAAAATGGAACCATTCATATAATCAGTCCAGAACACATAATTCCCATGATGTGATAGTCCAAAGGGATGGTTCAATTCTTTCCCACTGTAAACAATCTGTAAAATATAAACACATTGTGAAAAATCAGAACTGACCTTAGGAAACATGACTAAATATTTATAGAAAATAATATTCCAATAAGTATAACATAATGATCTAACTAGTATCTTAACTCATACTTTTTTCCAGTAGATTTGGAAAATGGATTTCACAATGTGAGCATATTTTTCTGTTTTTAAAGCATGCTATTTGAAGGAGACCATCTACATTTTATCCATTTAAATTCTCTCATATATGGCACTATAAATATCGTCAAGAATGCAAACATTAAAATGAGTTTGCCTAAATCTCATCCTTGTCTCTTTCCTTTGTAATACTCCAGTATCATATGTTGGGTTACAGATTGGTCTGAATAATTAGTGTCACTACATATATTGCAACCTTGGTTATCCAATAACCAATGAATAGAACATGTTTGAATTGCATTGGAAATAAAAGGGATCCCCCTATTTTAATTGGACTAATGTAAATTGAAGAAATTTAGTAGATGCCAGTAAGTAGGTAAAGATTTTAGTTCTGAACACAGAAATATTTATTGTTGGTAAATACATATGGCTCACTGGCGAATTTCAATTCTGATTATATTAATATATTTATTTATATTCCAGTATATTTTTATTGTTGTTTAAATGGAGGAATCATGAGATAAACATTCAAGTCCTGTTTCACATGTAGGATCTTAGAAGTGGAGTAAATACCTCCTATAATGATAAAATCATATTGTATACAATATGAGAAAGCATTAATATCATTTAATACCAGAGAATTGAGAAAGTTATCCAAATAATTCATTGTTAGAAATTCAAATTTTGCTCCTTCTAACAGAATTCTTCATGCCAAATTATCACATACTGAATAATTGAGGCAGTTTCTCAATTTTTTTCCTCTCCCCTTTTTGTAAGCTAAACTATGCTGGCCATTAAAGTGTTATGTACATACCAACATCATCAAAGGAATCATAAACATTTACTTAGCACCTGTTAAGTGTGTGACATTAGGTTAAATGCCAACCCATTTTATGTATTTGGGAAAAAATATTTAAAGTGCTATTAGACTGAACAAAGGACTGGGATAACCTTAGCTGATTAGTATACTATTTATTTCTCATACAATTCAAAATGAGTGGGCTTAGCCAACTAAGCAGTCTTCCCTACCAAAAAAGAAGGAAATGTAATGTCAAAGGAAGCATATTGGTAATTTCTAACATTCCATTTTTCCATTATTTAACTAACAGTTGAAGCCAGTTCACGGTGTTATGTGTGCTTAAGTGTCATATAGATTACATAAGGTGACATACAGAGGTGCTATTTTGTCAACTACGCTTCTGTCTCACAGTAACCTGCATCGTCCTCAATTTTACCCAAGAATTTCACAATCATTTTACAATAATTCTAGCAAAAGAGGCAAGAAGCAGCTGATATCTATTCATACCAATAAGCTTGAAATTCAGTTCATTCCTACTATGTGCCAAGAAGTTCTTTATTCAAATAATTGCATCATAATTACTTTCTCATAATACGTAACTTTAAATTTCTGCTGCAAATATTGTACATATTTGAATAGAGTCGGGTTGCTTGGTCATGAAAACTCATCAATAATGTAGAAAAAAAATGCATTTTAAAACAACTCTGATATCTCAAGAGCTTCTTTTAAAAATCCCACAAATCCTGGCATACCACAGTGAGCTGGGCCCGGTCTCCCGGAGGCGAGTGCCAGCTGCTCTACTTAATGCTCAGCCTCCTTTAGCCACCCCACAGAGACTATTGGCAGCCACCTCAGAGGGGTAAAAATAAACTTGAAAGTATTTTTAACAACACAACAAGGCTCTGTGAAAGAAGAAGTCTGGGTTAAAAACAGCAGTATTTGTCTTTTACCTTCCTATGAGTTCCATTCAAAAACACTTTTTCAATATGATCATAATAGGCATCACACCAGTATAATGTGTTGGTGTGAAAGTCCAGAGTTAAACCATTTGGCCACAGCATCTTTGAAGTCACAAAAATCTGCCGATTGAAGCCATCCATCCAGGCCTTCTCGATCCTTCCCACGCTGTCATCTATTTCATCTTCCTCCCAGTCTGTCCAATACATCCAACTAAGATATTAAAAACAAGAACGCATACATGTTATTTCAATCAGCCACTGTGTAGAGAGATACTTCCTCAGATTTGGTACTTCCTTAAAATCTAATTACATTCTGATTTTTTATCCTATCTAAATGATTATCTGTCAAAGGGAGGAAGTAGCTATGAAGATCTAAGGGAAGTTAAGGATTCATTCGGTGGAACCAGTCGATTTAGACTTGTTACAGAAAATCCAGTACCACCACTATCACACTTACTGGCCTGATGCATTAATTAACCTGACAGTAAGTGCCAAATATCTATTTTCTGTGGTGTTGATACCAAGTCTGAGAAATGAATTTTTGAGGCACTACTATCTTTAAATGTTAT